AAAAAAGAAAAGGCATAGGCCAGGCCTCCCAGGTGGAGTGGAGTGGGGCTTTCAGACACGTACATGACTTTAAATGTATGTATTTATGGTTGATTCCATGGCTTACTATTTACTTCCCTGTAACGTTTTCTGTCTTACAGGACAGGGATTATTTCTGTCTGACTTCGTGTAAAGCCAATAATGTGTCATATGCAGATGAATATGGTTGGCGGAGCCCACAAATCATTAATACATTAATGAATTGTTAATGTATTATTACTTTTAGCTTCCCCTACACAACTTCCTATGCATACTATAAATACAAGGTAATAACAATAGCTCATGTTTATCGAGCACTTACTATGTTCTTCCCATCCTGGGAAGCACTCATTCCATGGAAACCGCATAGCGTGCATTTGAGATAGGTACATACATGGTCCCATCCCACACATTTGAACATAGAGGCTTAAGGAAACATAGTAACATGTTCAACATCGCAGATTTAGAATAAGTTGGAGCCAGAGTCTGAACCTGGCCCGGGACTCTTGGGTCTCAAACATGGGAATGGGAGAAAGATAAATTCTGATATAATGATGTGTGTACATGGGACTCAGAGGGCAGAGCAGCTAACACTGCCCAAAGAAATTGAGAAAAGTTTTGCAAAGTGGTTACATTTGAGTTGGGTGACAATGGAATAACTGGAATTTTCAGGGCAAAAATAAGGTTGGAGGAGAGCATTCTAGGCAGAGGGAAAGCAAGTGCAAAGGCACAGGTTTTAGAAAATGAGGCATCCTCAGGGAAATGAGGAACTCTGAATTGGGCAGGAACATTTAAGCTCAAGGAAAGTGGCTGAAGATGATGCTAGAGTGTCTGGAACAAGATTGTGAGAGATTTCTATGTCCAGAGAAAGAAGCTGAGTTTTATTTTTTTATGGGCAATGAGGAGCCAAGAAGAGTTTTCAGGCAGGGGAATGACATGCTAACTTTAAAAGGTAGTTTGTAGGCAGTGTGAGAATGGGCCTCCACTTGTTAAGGAGTGTGGGTGGGGGACACTGAGGAGCCAGACCCACCCACGTGGTGGTGAACAGTAATGCCGTGGACAGTGTCAGGTCAGCGCCAGTCTCCTTCAGGAGGGGCTGATCCAGGGCCACCACTAGCCTGTCTTCCTGCAAAGTGGAAAGAGGCTCCCCTGCCTCCAACAGTTCAGCCCCCAGCCAGGGCACACTCTAGATCTGTTAATGGAGCACAGGCTCAGCCTTAGCCTCCACAGGTCCCCTTGGTTAGGGGGACCCTGTGCACTGCAGATCCTGTACTCCTTAGGCATTTCCTGAGCCGAAGCTTCCCTCAAGCACATGGATGGAGAGAAAGGGTGCAGGGGCCAGGGGTAGGATGTGTGTGCATGGCATGGCTGCCCCTCTAGCAAAAGAAAACCACTGAGTATGACCGGAAAAGGCAGGCGTTTTGATAAACAAACACGGCTCCGTGACCCTGGGCAAGTTATTTAATTTCTCTAAGCCTCAATTTCTTCATCGGTTAAATGGTGATAATAAAAGTATCTATTTCAGTGGGTTGTTGTGAGAATTAAATGAGATAATGTACACAAAGCACTTAACTCAGTAAGCATATAGTACACACTGAATACACGTTAGCTATCAATATTTCTACTATACCAACAATAAAAGAGAGCCCTTCTAGGCCTGGAAAAGGGTATTGACTATGTATGCACTTAAGTTGGCTGTCCCCTCCCCCTTAACCCCTGCCACCCCAAACCTTGGTGAGAGGAAGACTGTCATTCAGAGACTGATAGCAGTGATGGGAACTGGATAAATCATAGCATTACAGAGGTTGACTCTGTCTACTTACCTCATCATGGCAGTCCAGTGACACGTGCTCCTAAGGCAGGGCCACTGGAAGAAGCCCCAAGAGCAGGGGTCATATGGGAAGTAGGCGTTCCCTGCCCCAGTCCTCTACCTCCATCCCAGCCTCATTTCTTTCCATACCCACTTCCCCTGTCCTCAGTCTGCTCTTCCTTTCCTGATCCGTCCCACCACCCACATTCTCAAACATTGATCCTCCCCTTGCCCTTTCCCTGCAAGGGAAGATTTTTTTGCCCACGACTTTTACCCCTTTTCTCTGGATGTTTCTGGATGGTGGCAGAAGTGAGGCGGCCATCTGGGCATAGAAATATTTAGCACAGGTGGCCTTGTCGGCTGGGCCAGGTGGGACTAGGTTTTCTGGGGAGCAGCAATGTCTGGGCCAGTTGTTGGGCAGCTGAGGGCAGAGAACAGAGGTGAGAGGAGAGCAGGAGGAACTGTGCTCCCAGGTCTGTCTACAGAGAGAGCAAGCTGGGGGTGAAGGATGAGGCCACCTCTTGTGCAAATGGCCAGTGATCGGCTTGGGCTGTTGTGGTGGCATGAGCACAGGACGTGTTAACAGGATGTGAGAAGAAAGGGCTCTACAAGTGGCAGCAATCATGGAGGCTGCTGGTTAGGCAGATCTAGGTCTCTACCCAGAGGTCACCTCCTCCGAGAGGCCTTCTGGAACAGCTCTACCTAAAATCATCCCCCACCAGCATTCCTGCTGCCGTGCTCTATTTCCTTAACCTGTTTTATTTCTCTTCACAGCATTTAGCAATACCTGAAATTAAATATTGTTTATTTATTTGTTGTCAGTGTACTGCTCTTCTCCATTAGACTGTCTCATTTGTTGTTCTATTTTCAGCATCTGCCTGGCACACAGTAGGTCTTCAATAAATATTTGTTGAATGTAAGACTGAATGATCACCATCATCATTACTCAGAGAAGAATCATTACCCCCTTGCCCACGGCTGAACAGCCACTGAGTCCGTGCTACACGCCAAGGATGAGTCAGTCACCCTCCAGTCCAGCAGGAGCCGCAGTGCTGCCTTTCTCTTGGGAGGGTGCTCAGCAGCCTCAGATTTGAAATGACATTGCAGAGATCCCTCCTGGGATCACATGGGCTGTGTGGCTGGGCAGGGATACTGTCCTTTGTCCATGTCCATCTTATGTTAACTCCAAGGGTGGGGGCCTTAGTCTAGGCAGGTGAGTTAATAGGTCCCTCCTAGATGTCAATGGGAGCACTGTGTTGGTCAGTTGGAAATTTGGCTCATAAACCAGGAAAAGGGAGGCCCTCGGAAGGTTTCTAGAGGTTAGAGTTAACTTTGTTTCCCTCGCACAGGAGCAGGGGCGATTTTTCTGTCCTGTCATGGAGAAGTGCTATCAGGACCAGGAGCAGCCATCTCTCCCAACTCCCAGAGGTGGGAAGACCTGCAAACTCGCAGTCCAAAGACAGCGTGTGCCTGCAGGCAGGAGTAACCAGCCACCGCTGCAGCGGGCAGGACTCGGTCCAGATACAAGGCCGAAGAATGTACCATTCTTTTTCATGTCCTGTGAAGTGTTTTCCTACTAAGCACCTCCATGTGAAGAAGAGAATGAAGTCCCACTTATTAGGGATCTATGAACCTGACTACAAGATACCTGGGTGAAAAGTAAAAAATGCTCATAATCCCAGATATTTTATAGACATAAAACCAAGCAGAGATTTGGTGTAATACAGACCTATAGTTCATAATACTCTACATATGTGCGTATATATAGTTTTAAAGTTATTCATGTCTTCTCCTTATAGAAAGACTATTTCACATTTTTATACTAATTATAGGCTTTTGTAGATGACATTCTTCATATCCCAAGGTTGGTCCAGGACTTAATTTTTTTTTCTTGTTGGCAGGTATCATGTCCTGAATCTATGTCCTGATGATTAGATGTTTGAGAGCTACAATATACACATTGTTCTTAATAAATGCCATGAGGACTGAGCGTCATCACACCACGGGTCTCCGCACAGCCATGTAGTAGCTGTGTGACTCAGTGCAAGGCACTTAAACTCCCTGTGCCTCAGTTGCCCAACTCTAATTTGAAGAGGTTGGGTTAGTTACTAAGCTTCCTTTTAGAGCAAAAGAATCTATGATTCAAGTAATATTTGTAAATAAACACTATAATTTTTTCCTCATTGAGAGAAACACGATCTCTGTCACCGTCATATATGGGGCAGCTATTTATAGACTGATCAGCATCTGAGTTTATGAAGAGCATCAAATATCTTAGTACATAAATATGGTAAAGTTTTTTTTACTAGTTCCTTTCTGAGGAATTGTGTCCATTAAGATATTTCATGCTCAGCCAGTTATGTTCATTATTTTTAGACAGCATGCTTAAAATAAAGGAGAGGACTTTATTTGATACCTTTATTTATATGCAAAACAGCTCACCATTCATGAGATATGAAAAATTTGTCAGATAGAAACCAGATTATATCTATTTTCACTACAAAATATTGCATTATATAAAGCAACAGAGACACACAAAAACCCTGAAAAAGACTAAAATCTTTGGATAGCAGATGTGGTTTTTTTTTTCCCTTGTCTCTAAAATACACTCCTTGTTCTAAGAGTTTCACAGCTGAGAACATGAAACATTTTCAGGTTATAGACTTTTCTTTTTGGTTGTCACAGAGGAAAGCAGTTCTGAATTCTTTTTTTTTCCTTAGGAAAATAACTTAATTTCCTAAAATCATCCCACGCACAAACATCACACACACACACAAAGAAGCTACTCTCCTTATAAACAGTTTGTAAAGTACTCTTCAGACATAACTACAGATAAGAATAACAACATTTACTTTTTTGAAAAAAACTATAATAGTGAAGTGCTAGTGTTGCTGATCTCACAACAAAAGAGCCTTTCAAGAACAAACATCTTAATATATAAAATATGTTTAGAAACAGGGAGAAGTGGGACATTTGTTATACAAGTGCAATATAATTAGAGCAAAAAGAAAGACCACAGTAGAATCTCAACAAACACATAAAAAGTTAGACGTAATTGTTCCACAGGAGAAAGTGTAAACACTCGACTATAAATAAATTGGCACAGAGTATCCAAAGTAAAATTATCACCACTCTGAAAAATAAATGTCTTGAAAAAAATACTCTACTCCTTCTAACATAAATAAAAATAGGTTGTCTTTTTCTAACTGCACCTATGGGTCCACATGTTTAAGGTCACAAATAGATGTTTTTGGATATATAAAGGGGCACTTCGCCTGAAAAAGCAATCAGACATTAAATTTTCCATTTAAATATGGATTTTCCTGTCTACATTAGTGTCATACCTTGGGGTTAATATCTCACCAGGTTCAAATCTTCCCACAATGTGTCTGTTTGTTCTCAATGTATCTTTTTAACCTTACCAAATCCGTAGGGTTTGTCTGTTTTATTTGGATTCTAATATAATCTTTCTTTTCACAACGGAACGGAGAGTTTCCTCTTCCACCTTTCTGTGCCTTAAATCTCTACGCTGGAGGAGATGCCCTCCCCTCCCCTCCGAATGTTTGGTGATTTGTCAATTAGAAAAATTCCAGATCGTCTTAAGCTATGAGCCTATATATACTCTGAGCTTCTGCCCTCATTCTTTCAAAACATCAAGCTCCGTGGGAGACAAATATAGGAGAACTCGAAGTCTCCAGTGAGCTAAAGCAACAACCCTTAAAGGGATCCTAACACACGGAGAGGAGGCCTGGAAGCGGCTCATCTCGGGTGCCTCCAGGAGGTTCTCTTGGCCTGGAAAACACCCCCTGCAAGCCCCAGGGCTTCCCACACAACCCCACCTTCCAGAGTCGGAAACCTTCCCTCGTCGCCGTGCTGCCCGGAGGGAACAGGTGGCGAGCTTCTTCCCCCATCCCAGTTTCTCGCGGCGGCCGCCCCGCTGGGCCGCCCCTTCGCCGCCATCCCCGAGGCGGCCGCCCGGGTCGGTGGCCTTTCCCCGACTTGCGCCCAGGCGGCCTCCCGCGGCGCCCCCCGCCCTACACGTCCAGGACGTGGTTGAGATAGGAGATGTAGCAGATGGCCAGGCGCAGGATCTCGATCTTGGAGAGCTTCTTGTCCGGGGGCAGCGTGGGCAGCAGTTTGCGGAGCTCGGCGAAGGCCAGGTTGAAGGCCTCCACGCGGATGCGCTCGCGGGTGGCGTGGGCCGAGCGGTACTTGGCCGTGGCGCGCCGGCGCCGGCGCTTCTCTTCCCGGCTCAGCTGCTGCGGGTGCGGGTACAGCGCGGCCCGGCTGCCGCCCTTGCCGTGGCCCTCGGCCTCCTCCACCGGCTCCAGGTCCGACACGCTGCCCAGCACCTTGGCGTCCGCGCCGCCCAGCGACTCCGGGTCCGAGTGCGCCGAGCTGGGGTGGTCCGAGTCGGCGGCTTGGTCTGGACTCAGCATCATTTTGGAGGCTGAGGGGGAGTCAGAAAATCAATCAATAAAAGGAATCGGGGTCTTCTTTTGATGTGAGGGAGGGCGGACAAGGGCCTACCACGCCGGGCCTCCGCGCGTCCCGGGCCCTCCCCACCCCAGGCCAGCGCGCTCTGCGGAGCTGGGGGCGCGCCGAGAGGGGCAGGCCCGAGGGCCCGAGCCCCGCGCCTCCGCAGGGCGCCGGAGAGAGCGAGGTCTGGGCTCGGCCCAGGCCGCATTCTGGACCTGACACCTCGGCCTGCAGGAAGCCAAGACCGGCCTGTGGGTCTGGTCCGGCGGGGAGGCCGCAGGCCTGCCAGGCCGCGCCTGGGTTTGTGCCTCCTTCTCTGACCAAATATCAACATCGCCATTCTGCCTTCCGCACGTCTCCTTCCCTGACAAATGAATGACGCCGAACAACGAATACTTCTGGGTTTTACGGGGGGCGGGGAGACGCGGAGAGCGCTTCCCGCCCCGAGGGCCTCGGCGGAGGCAGCCGGAGAGCCGCGGGGCCCGCGGGCCTAGCGCTGGCCTGGGGCGCGGGGAGCGGCCGGGCAGCGAAGGGCGCCCCGCGCTGGAGAGGAACCCCCGCCCTGAGCGCGCACAGAGAGCGAGCGGCCCGGAGCGGGCAGGCCTCCTCGTCCCCCTCGCGCTTCTCCAGGATAATAAAGAAACGACTAAACAAACGTGGAGGCTCCTTTCAACAGAAAATTGACTCTTCTGCCCTCGCCGGCTCCCAAAGCACCATCTGTCACGCAGACAGCCACACACATCGGGGACCTAGGGACGCGGAGACTTGGGAGAAGACAATGCGCCCGGCAGTCTGCCGACCACCTCAGGGGAAAATGCCGGCGGCCGGGGCGCTGCGGGAGGAGAGGCTGGGGAGGGAAGGGAAGGGCCAGGAGGAGGCGGGCGCCGCGCGTGGGGCTCCGGCCCGAGCTGCATCTCCGCGGGCAAAGTTCGGGTGCCCCGGGGTGGGGGGGGGGCCGGAATCGGGAGCCTGCTGCCCCCCGGCGGCCTGGCCAAGGCCGCGCTAGTCTGGCCTTAGCTCTCCTCTAACGGTGCCCTCCTGGAAAGGCCTCCTGGCCCGGCTCCTCCTGGGCACCTGGAGGATCGGCCCCCGACCGCGTGCCTTCTGGAAGGAGGCCGCTCGCAACCGCTGGGCTTCGGGGCAATTCCGGCTTCCAGAAAAGGGCCAGCCGGAGGGGAAGGCACCTGCGGGTGCAGCGCGCGCCGACCGCGGGCGCCGGGAGGAAGGAACAGGCTGCGAGCCCCGGGCCCCGCGTGTGCAGCCCGAGCGACGCTCGCCGCGGGAGAAAACGGCGCCGTGTAGGAGGAGGGTTTGTTCCTGGAGAAACAAAAGCAGCGGATATGCAATCCGTGCCTAGCACCGCACTTGCTTAGGAGCGCATTTGGCACCAAGACGGCTTTCATTTCTCTGCGAGAAAAA